GATTCACGGTAGTGTAAGAAAGACTTCGAATTACAAGCTGTTTTTTGAAATAAACTCAACTATACATTCTTTCTGCCAAGTAAATTTAGGTAAAAAGAGAAGGTTCAGTTTATAGATTCCATACGAAAAAAATACGCCTTTACCTTGCATGTGGATGATGTGGAGGTTGCTATTCCTATTGGATATCTTAATCAAAAGGGAGATGCCATGCTGAATACGTGGGTGTCATTCAAGGTGTTTATTACTTCCAATCGCATTACAGAAGTGATGACTGAATCGTTGCAACACCAACAAATTGAGTTGTCGCCAGAATTACAGGAAATAAATTTTAATTACAGCGTTTTATGGTTTCGTGCATCTGACAGTGTTGCTATGATTCCTACAAAAGGTGAATCCTTCGATTCAGAAGAGGTACAAAGAAAGCGTTTTTATGTTATAAATTCGCTTCTTTTAGTTGTTCTTCTATCTGGAGTTGTGCTCTTCATTCTTGCAAAAACACTGTCGCGTGACTTTCAACTGTATGGAGTTTTAGAGGAAGAGATGGAGGAAGTAGAAAGTGGATGGAAACGACTTCATGCAGATGTTTTTCGTTTTCCTAAGAAGCAATTCCTATTTTGTGCTATAACGGGTTGTGGGTTCCATATATTGCTTGTCGCTTTTCTGATCTTTGTGCTTTTTTGCATTACTCATCTTACTGAGGAAATGAACACAATTATTAATTCTGTGTTGTGGGTTTTTGAGATTTCAGTTCCTGTTTGTGGTTTCATGAGTGCATCCCTTTACAGAAAATTTGAAGGGGAAAACACCTTTAGGAATACGCTGCTTACTTATTGTTTGCTCACTTTACCATTTTTTTTCGTATGTCTCACAATCAATTTGGCTGCTTCAAAACACCATGTCACCTACGCAATTTCTTGGGGCACTTTTTTCACTTATTCTCTGTTGTTTATGGGGACCACATTTCCTCTTAACTTGTTTGGCGCAAACGTTGGGAAACGCTTTAGTGGTCCATTTGATGCACCCACCCGAACAAAAATCATTCCCCGAGCGATTCCTTCTTTACCATGGTATCGACGAACCCTAACCCACCTGATTGTTGGCGGACTACTTCCTTTTATGGCAATATACATCGAACTTTATTTTACACTCGCTCGATTGTGGGGTACTCAGTCGCCCACTCCATTTACCGTTTATTTCATGATGTATATTGTTTTGATTGTTGTGACAGCAAGTGTAAATGTTGCGTTAACCTATGATACTCTTAGCGCGGAAAATCACAATTGGTGGTGGCCTTCCGCACTTTGTGGAGGCTCCGCTGCTGTATTTGTGTTCCTCTACTGTGTGGTTTTTCTTTTTACACGAACGCAAATACGTGAGGGATTCCATCTCGTGATGTACTTTGGCTACACTTTTTTCCTTTGCCACTGCATTTTTCTGACGATGGCCACTGTGGGATTTTATGCATCACTTCTTTTCGTGAAGCAAATATACCGCTATATCAAGAGCGACTAGCATTATCTCTGCTTTAACAGCAATAAACGACAAAGAAGCCCCACAGTTTATTCGAAGAAAATTCTTGCGCGCATTCATTTATTCTTGCTTCTACCTCTGTACATTGAAAATGTTATTTGCGCCTTTTTCTTTTTCGTTATTTTTTTTCCTGTTAGATCTAGCCTACAAGCTTGTAAAATTTTTAAACGAAGTATAAGCTATTCGGAAGCACTGTAAGATGCATATCTTACTTTTACTCTGTTATCCAAATGTAAATCATTAAAGAGCACATATTGTCACTTCACAGTTAAAGGCGACGATGATACCGTTCAAAACACCGTAAATCCCCCTCAAAAAATGACCGCTATTGATCGTCGATGTGCCACCCAATAGAACATGAAGGGCCCTAACCGTGATGAAGGAAATTGCTATCCCAAGTACAAGAATAAATGGTGGATATTACTTGGGCGTATACTCGTCTTTGGAGTCAAACACAAGTACAGTAAAACAGCCACGTGGCACAAATTCAAATACCGAACATTCGATGTTGAGAATTTAGTCTTAGTGGTTTAAGGAGCAATGGTCATTTTCGCTAAGACTAGCCTTTTCATTTTATCTCCTTTTACTGACATGTCGCACTTGCGTATTAAACTGGATCTGCCCTCCGATATATGCATATATACATACTGAATGATCGTAACTCCTTTTCAAAAGTTGCTACACAAACCCGACGGAATAATGAAAACTTTTTTTTCTTTACTAAAAACCATTGTGAGAAGTGCAACTTTCTTTTTGCGCAAATTATTGCAATGCTTTTTTACCTATTCCGCACCACGAAATTAAAAACTGAAAGATTTTATCTGGCCACAATAGAAGCACTGTCAGAGATGTATATGGCACAACCGCTTGGTTCGCGAACCAAAATAACCTCCACATACCATCTTAATTGACCTTTTACTCACACATTTGAAAACCTATTTAATGATTATGTGTATTTCTGCGAGCTAACCGATAGGAAGTTAAATGCTTGGGATTTGGTGGCTTGGAGTTACTTGTTGCGTGGCGTGTGTTTGTGTGCTGCCTGCCTTCATGGTGTCTTGACCGCCGTTTTTCTTCCGGGCTTCTTTCCCTCACTCTTGCACCACGAGCAAGCAACAACAAACTTGATTAGGGATCTTGTTTTTATCGCGTCTCTGTTCCTAACTATGTCCGACGAAGAGCAGTCTGCCATTGTCTGTGACAACGGCTCCGGGATGGTGAAGGCCGGCTTCTCCGGCGACGATGCGCCGCGCCATGTGTTCCCGTCCATTGTTGGCCGGCCAAAGAACGAGCAGGCAATGATGGGAAGCGCCAGCAAGAAGCTTTTCGTGGTGACGAGGCCCAAGCAAAGCGTGG